GGGTTGCAGATGCAAAACCAAAGGTAAAAATGGTATTACTTCAACTTTAATTGTTAATTTATGGAATTAGCGTAATATAAATGGTTATATTATCTGGAATTAAATAATGGAATTATTGCGATTATATGCAATTAAATAATGGATTTATTGCGACTATGTTTGTTAGGGTAATATTAATTAGATGTAATGCATGTAATTATGCTGCTCATGTTCAGTTGATTGAATGAGTTGAATTATGCCGTTGAAATGTTCATTTGATGGAATGAGGTGAATTATGCATTCATTGGTGCTCATTATTCGTTCTACCTATGTGATATTATGTTATGGTGTGAAATCGTATCGAGTTTCGATTTGTTATGATTCATTTTTGTGGGTAGCTTAGATTGAGTAATGTGTGTAATGTAGTTAATACACCGAATTTGATATATTCGTTCTTGACAGGATTAGGAAAATGTCAGCGGGGAATGGTAAGCATAAACGTACAATGGTGAGGGTATACCACACAAAATTTTCTAATACACCAAATACCATTCAGTTAATGTATATTAACACATAATGCCTTTTTTGTTAACTGCCGTTAACGCCGTTAGTAATTAAGGTTAATTGTGCCACGTGGTTGTCACTTATTGGCTCTTATTAATATTAACTAACTTAAAAAAAATACACCACCAACGCCCCCAGCCTAGCCCCGACCCCCACCCTCAGCTGGTTGGTGCCTGGTCTGCTTCCCGTCAGGCTGGCGACCATCCTCCTCCCCCGTCAGCGACAACCCCGACCCAGCCACCACCTTAGCAGAACCATCACCTTAGCCAAATTCCCCAACCACCACCTTAGCCCAATTCCCCACTCCTAGCCTAAAGCCCAGCCACCACCCCGAAATCCCTTCGCCGGCAGCCCCTCTTCCTCTTCCCCTCCCTTTTCCGACCACCCCCTCCCCCTCCTTTCCCAACCAATTTCTTCAGCATCGCAAATTCACAGGCGAAGGGTTTGGGGTGATAGAGAGGGAATAAGGGGTGCAGTGGTGGGGACTTCAGCCGATTTCAAGGGTTCGTGGGTGGGGGATGGCCGGAAAGGGACAGGATAGGGGTTATTTCCATGGATTGTTGTCTATGCTCTCAAGAGCAGCAACAAACTCGGGGAAGGAAAACTAGAAGAGTGGCCTGAGCGGGCATGGGAGGGGTTACATGTGGGGGATGGTTTTCGAGGAAGGGGAGTAGGACTGGGATGGTCGCCGGCGTTGGGGGAAGGGGTCGAGAATATCGCCGGCGGGGAAATCGGGAATTGGGGAATCGGGGAAGCTTCAAGCAGGGAGGGGTTATAGGTGAGGGATGGTTTTCGGGGAAGCGGAGTGGGAGAGGGATGGTCGCCGGCCAGCTAGCCGGGGGTGGGGGTTGGGGTTGGGCTGGGGGCGGCGGTGGCTTGTGTTGGTGGTGTTTAATTTTTATTTTATTTTTAAAATTTTTTTTTCTAAATTTAATTAATTAAATAAATAATATTAATTAGAACCAATTACAAGATGCCATGTGGCATAATTAACGTTAATGACTAACTGAGTTAACGGAAATGGCATGTTGTGACATTTATGTTAAACTCAGTGGTATTTGGTGTATTAGAAAATTTTGTGTGGTATATGGTGAATTACGAAATAACTCAGTGGTATATGGTGAAAAATCCATTTTTTAAATATATTCTTTAGCTTAGGCTCGAGATGTGATTATGTTTTGAATTATGGTTTTATGTTTTAGTATGTTGTGGTTATGAAGGTTGGGGCCGAAGATGAAGAAGAGGGGTATGGGCTCAGTAAGAAGAGTAAGGTATGTGAGCAGAAGACCATGCATTTGTATCCAGAATTGTTTAAGGTACTACAATATGGAATTCTATGTGTGTGAAATTGGTGTTTTTGCATGATTAAGGTTTATGCATGAATTAACTTACTGGTTTTATGTGTGCTTAGGATGACGGATTAAGTTATGGAGGGATCGTCAAAGGTAGAGCGGAGGTGATGGCTGAACATTCAAAGGCCAGAAGTCAGGTAAGTTTGCTTGTTGATTCAATGGTTAGTAAGTGTGGGATAGGAAACATTAACTTAATTACTGTAATTTCATTTGGCAGCCTCCTAACATAAATTTCCGCATCGAGTCATTTGGGCGCATATGTCAAAAATTTGATGACAGGAGAAGACGTTGGGTTTGTGAGATGGGATTTGAAAGTCTTTTACATCTTGCTTTACATATGCATTTACCAAGACAATTGGCATATTGGGTCATGACACGGATGGATCCATTAGTAAAATGTTTAGAAGTTCCAATGATCTTGTGTTTAGGTTTTCAAGGAATCAGGTTCGGTGGGTACTAGGGACACCAATGGGTTCTAGGACTGTTCCTTGTACTAAGACTATGACCCAACATGATCGTGTAAAGGTTCAGAGAATTATTTTGAAGTATGGTAAATTGTGGGAGTCCAAGTCTGGTAGACAATCTGGTCAGGTCTACACGTCTGTAGGCATACCATTAAGTTCAGATATGATGAATCGGTTGGAGGGGTACTTTGATTCTGGAGAGGAAGAGGAATTCAAGATGTTGTTCTTGATAATTTCTTTAGAGATGGTGTTGTGTCCTACGCAGTCACCCCGGCTTGTGTCTGAACTACTACCTGCAATAAGTTGTGCTATGGAGGCAATTGAGTACGATTGATGTTCTTTAGTGCTGTCGAAGTTGATGGAGAGCGTACAAAATTTTGCTCGACGTTTCTATGCTAATGGGTTTGCCAGTGGATGCGGCGGGTGTGCAATATTTGTTGTAGTAAGTGTTTTAGTGTATTATTGCTTGTTTTGTTTTTTCTTGTGCGTTTTGTTTTAGTAATTGCTTGTTTTTGCTTTTACAATTTTGCAGATATTTTACTTGGATCGGTTGGATAGGGATCCTATTCAGTGGGATGTTTTTCCAAGAATTAAAGTGTGGACTATGTAGCAGATTGGGAAGGCAGCAAAATCAGACAAATTGCTGTCCGGCGACTACGGGAAACTAGGGGTAAGCACTTTTGTATTTGTTTTATTATATTGCATAGTGTTCTGCTTCAATCAAATATGGTTTAGAGTAAATAACCTTTTTCCATTTATATTCCTTTGTGTGGTTCAAGCTATTGGATGTTGCTTACGATGAACAACACCCAAGGGATGCAAGGGATAGTGTTGGACCCCTACAAGCTGGAGTGAATAATGTGAGGTTTGATCTTAAAGTAGTTGTTTCACCCGTGTACTTTGAATCTGAATCTGAAGGCTAGGTGTGTTGTGTGGATGCAGATGCGTGATTTACCATGGGGTTAACTTCAAGGCTAGGCAAAGGAGGGGCCGAATGCCTGAGCTAAAAGATCAATGAGGCAATTCTCAGTTTGGAATGTGTAATAAGGGTTCTGGAATAATCGATTTTCTTATTTAATTGTTATTGTTGGATAATCTAATCTTACAGGATTTGGATATTTCTATTTTCAGTTTGTTGAATACTCAATTTTCAGTTTGTCAATTGACGAAATATTATTCGGATTAATATTCCAATTGTTTGCTGTATTAATAAAAAAAAATGTGTTATTGAAAAAAAAAAAAGCAAGTACATTGGCCTTTTTATTTGTAGTAGAAATTACTTGTGAAGGATCAATAGGGTTGTATGGCAAATTTTCGCAGATATAAATCTCAAGATCTTGAGATCAGTTTCAAGGCAGAATAAACTAATTCACCTTTCAACGTCAAAGGCTTTGAGATTTAGTTCAAAACTTATAAACATGCTTTTGACTTTTGCACAGAATGTAATATTGCGAGTTAAACTAAAGTAAAATAAGCATGAGAAAGCATAATTAAATGAGACAAGACACAACAAGTTGTTACAAAGTTTCGCAATGAAAATGCCTACGTCAACCCGTAGGATTTCCACCTTTAAGAGACCTAAAGCACCCTAGTAGATCAACCATCTTCTCTCCGCAGCCAACCGCCCACACTAGGCGAAAAATACAAATGGGCACCGGTTCAAAACCCCCATTTAGCACCGGTTTTGAACCGGTTGTTATTTGAGGGATGCCAAAAACCAAAAGATTTCGCACCGGTTCTTGTTGTGAACCGGTGCGAATAATGGCCCAAAAAAATTATAAAAAAAAAACTTTTTTTTGCATTTTTTTCACTTAAATTGATATAGAAACACTAACATATATATAAAGTTACATATTTTCATTAAAAAAGGCTGTAATATTACAATTTTCGTCCAAAAAAATCTGATAGATATGGTCACGACGGATCAGGGAAGATTATTCTACACTAATAATGAGAAAGCTATGATCTTAAAATTGTTATTTTTTTTTTTTTTACGGGTAAAACTGTTAATTGATTATATATTATCATAAACAAAAATGTTTTTTTTTATAAGATGAAATAAAATATTTGAAAATAAATAAATAAATATGTGTATCAATAAATATCTTCAATTTTAGAAACAAATTTCCTTAATTTTCCCATACCAATTTAATTCAAATTTCATTAATTTTGTTGGGATTTTCTACACTATACCCCTAAGGTATTGGGATTCCGCGCCGTACCCCTCCAGATCGGACCGGTTTTTTCATGTCCGGTCTCCGGTCCATGATTTCAACAGATTTTTGTCTCCGGTCCAACAGGTCTCAGTCTGGTCCCCGGACCTGTGTGCACTCCTATAAAGCATTTACCATGAATCCAAACTATTTTAAATAATTTATTATTGCAACAACTAATATTAGTATGTTTTGTTTGGGGCCCTGTTGCATCGCTCACCTTGTGTCGGCCTAGCACCGGTTGTGTATTATTTGATGCAAGTAATATTACAAAATATTATATAATGTCAAATAACATTGTCATAGTATAATATCACCCATGCAAATTATTCACCCTTGCAAATAAGTATTATATTAGTGTAAATTAATATATTTGGTGAAACACTACTATAAAATTGTAAATCGTAGTAAAAGTACATGATATAAAATTTCATACAAAAATGATATGTACATATCGAATGAGTTCACCATCAAACATAAAAGTCATGAAGTACTAACATGAGGAAGGATAAACTCCAACTGGCCTAGACGGTACATGTCTGGATGAAAGTAGAATGGGAGAATCAACTACAGTTCTCTAATCTTCTTTATCAGCATTTTTGGTCCATATTAAAGAACCAGAAATCACACCAATAGACCATTCATAATATTTGGTGTTAGGCAAACTCACATTCAAAGTAAATTGTTGTTCACAGTCCATATCATCAAATTCCAATATTTTTGGAACAACGCTGATGCTGATTGACTCTGTAGGCATGCGCATCTTAGAAGAATGAATTTCAATCTTAGCAGTATATGTACTTCGCCCCTTCTCAACACTTCTTAATTTTATACTGAATTGAATAAGCCATTTTTCTTCACAATGTGGAGGAAATGTAGCTGAGAAATAAGGTAGATTAAGGTGAAATTAAGGTGGATCTTCTCCATCAGACAAATGGAATCTTTGAAAAATACAATTTTTCTCCTCATACACCAGACCGGGTGTTGGGTATGGCCCAAATTTTATAAGCCCATTATTTTGGTCGAAGTATTATCCATATTCTAGAGGCTTTCGAAATAATATCCTACTTGAATTTTCTAGAATATTATGGACACAAGAAGGATGGAGAATTGAGGAAAAATCTAGAATTATTAAATGCCAATTAAAATTCTAGATTTATGTAGAGAGTTCAAAAATATCTACATATGTGGAATTTTCCACACAAATCTTCCAAGCTCCATCTACACCTATAAATATAGGTCAAGGGCATTCAATCAAACAACAACACAACACAAGAAGTCATACCAAACACAAGCCTTTCTACAAAATATCCTCCCTCCTTGTAATATTCCACTACTATCATAATACTCCTTGTGAGTTTCTTATAGTGAGAGTTCTCTTGTAATAATCACCCTCAAGGGTTCTTGTACTCTCCTACTTTCAAATAGTGGAATAAAAGTGCTCGTTGTTACATAAAATCGTGTGTTCATTTATATTAATTATCTTGCCAATTATCAATTCAATTTATACTTCTCAATCAAACACATCTTCGTTTCCGCTGTGCACTCACCAACCCTAATATCGGGTTGTCTTGCCTTTTTCAAATTAAACTCTCCTGCTCCATATGCAAACTCAAAAGCAAGATCTTTTCCATGCATTTTGTTAGCTGCATAATAAAACAATGACACATAATTGAAAACAGCATCAAGTTATATAATTGTTAAATCATGCAGTAATGATCAATCAGATACCACTAACAACTAGCAAAGCATCAGAAACAATTTGTAATCAAGTATAAAAGAATAGCACTAATGATCAAACTGAGATTGTGATCAATATTTCAGTAGCAAAACAATGCTGTAGAAGAAAAGTAAATGAGAGCAGAAAATAGAGAGAAAAAGAGGAATTATTTTCATTAAGTTACACTACTAGAAATAGGCCAATTTACGACGGACCAGTTCCGACGGACTAGAAATTCGTCGGAAATTTTTGACGGAATTAAATTGTGTCGGAAATTTACGACGGATTTCCTACGAAACACAAATCCGTTGGAATTTATGGGTTTTCCGACGGAATATTTCGTCGGAAACTTGATTTTTCGACGGAAATAAAATCCGTCGGAAATTTCCGAGGGACTTTTCCGTCGGAAACCTAATATTCCGACGGAAATAAAATCCGTTGGAAATTACCGACGGAAAATTCCCTCGGAAATTACCTTTTCCGACGGAATTTTCCGTCGGAACATAATTAAATAATAAAAAAAAACAAACCTTACATTCTAACGGAATATTCCCTTGGAAATTACCTACCGACGGAATATTCCGTAGGAAAGTAATTCTTCCGAGGGAATTAATTCCGTCGGAACGTTTACCTAATTAAAAAAAAAGGATTTATATTTTTTTTTTTAAAAAACAAAACCTAAAACCTAAATACACGGACCACTACCTAAAACCCCCATTATCTTTCATTTCTCTTTCCTCACCCCGCCTCTCTTCTTCTTCTCTAACTTTCTCTCTCCTCTCTTCTTCTCTAGCTTTCTCTCTCCTCTCTTCTTCTCTAGCTGCATTATACTCCTCCATTTTTGACATATATCAAAACAATAATTGACATATATCAAGCTCCTCTTGTTCCTCGTTCCTCCTCTTGCGTTTCTCGGTTTCTCGGCATTTCTCCTCCTGTCCAAGCAACGTCTGCTTGTGGTTTGAGCCCAAGCAACTATGACATCGACTTCTCGTTCCTCCTTCAGATCTAGGTTTTTTTTTTTCCGACTTTTGATTGTTGTAATGTTAGATCTAGATTATAATTAGTTTTTGTTATAATTGTAATGTTATTTGATTAATTTTAGAAGATGATTGTATATTTATTTAATTTGTTTGATTTCATTTTTTATTTTCGATTTTTGGTTTATATTTCGATTTTTTGTTGTTTTTGGCTGATTAATTTTAGAAGAAAATTGTAATGTTATTCGATTTTGGTAATTTTTTCGATTTTTGGTTGTTGTTTCAATGTTGTTGGTTCGTGGGTGTGGTGGTGGGTGTGGGTGGTTCGGCGGTGGGTTGGGATTGTGGTGGGGTGGTGTCGGTGGGCTGGGATTGTGGTGGGGTGGTGTCGGTGGGCTGGGATTGTGGTGGGTCTGGGTGGGTAGGGCCGTAGGGGGGTAGGGGTGGGCTGGTGGGTAAGGTGGGTGGGTGGGTTTAGGCTAGGGGTGGTGGTGGTGGGTGGGGGGCAGGGGGTGGGGGCTGGTGGTAGGGGTGGTGGCTGGGGTGGTGCGAGGTTTTTTTTTTTAATGTTATTTCCGACGGAATTTTCGTCGGAAGTTTCCGTCGGAAGTTTCCGTCGGAAGTTTCCGTCGGAAGTTTCCGGCGGATTTGTATTCCGTCGGACTTTCTGGTGACCGGAATTCCTCTTTCGACGACAGAAGTTCGTCGGAAATTCCGTCGGAACAGTGTTTTCCGACGGAAAAGGCCGTTTTCCCTACAAAAGGTTTTCCGACAACCCGTACCGACGAAATTTTTGTCGGAAATGGCCTGTTTTCTAGTAGTGTTAGGAAAGAATTAAACAGATCAGCCTTATATACAAGGACTGAAAGAGGCTAACCAAGCCATACAAAGCATCAGTTGACTTGCTGATGTGGAATTTTGTTATGACAGAATTCTATCATAATAACAAAACTTTACTATGCACTAGGAGCTTGAGTGGCTCTGTAGGCTTGACGTAGGTGCTCTGATCCTTAACAAGAGATGTAGTCTCAACAATAATGTAAATAAAATGAATTTTCTGTGAGGCTGGTCACACCATTAACTAATTGTGTGGCCACATGAATTTAATACAAAATTCACATAAAAATTAATTTTAAATTAGTAACACATACACCAAAAATACAAAGTAATACTACCTCTAAATACTTATAAAACTAAGTGATATAACACAATCATCTTAATCCACATAATTCAAAAAAGAAAAGGAAAAAAAAAAAAAAACTAGCTACTACTTAAATCCACATACCCAAAAGACACATGCTCCCCATTGATTTTTGTGTTTCATCGTTATCCGGTTGTGGGAGATTCATCGTTGTTGTTCATATGGGGCAAGGGGTAGTTTTGCAATTTATGGGGAAAGAAGAGGAGAGAGAATTTGGTGGTGCGTACAATGTGGAGAAAGATTAGAAAGAGAATGGAAAAAATAATGGAGGAAGTGAGAGGAGAAAAAATGAGGAAAATCACTTGGAAAACTAGATATTTACCCAGAGCTAGAAAAACCTGCCTTGTTCGGTCCACTGTTTCTTTTATATCTTTGTAGTATAGGCAGTATGCTGCTATTTGTATTTTCTTTCATGTTGTGTTTCGTAGTCTGAATTCAACGAGGCAAGAGCCATCTTGCACTCGTTCTCTTTTCATTTTAATTAATTGATGCTTCCAGTGGTTTTTTTTACAAAAATATGCAAACTGAAAGCAAGTATTCATAAACTAGAGAAAATAGCCCTTGATTTATTTCATTTTGGGAGGGAGCAATGAGAGTAAAAAACTTCATTTAGTAAGCAAAGAGAGGTTATACCAACCAAAGACTAGTGTTGGTTAGGGATACGTAATTTGGAGACTATAAAGTATAAACCAAGTCTTTATGATGAAACTAGGTTGGAAAATGAGTCCAAACACCAATAACCTTGCAAAAGATTGTTTAATGGCAAAAAATTCACTTCAAGAAAGGTTCGGTTATTTGGCATAAAGGGGTGGCCCCATCTCTCACATAATGTCTCTTGGGACTTGGGTGATGGGAATGTAATTTCTTTTTGGTACGATAATTGGGTAGAGATAGGTGCCCTTATGTAGATAATTTGGCCGGTTCTAGACTTCTGGATGCTCGGGTCATTGATCAATTCTCGTTAACTTAGATTGCTTGCTGGTCTCCGTAGGGGTTGGACCTCATCTCAATGATTGATTTATTTCCCTTTCTCAATTGGGTTCATGTGCAAAATAAAATTGTCTCTGGAGTATACAAGCTTTGGAGCTAAAGTGGGTTAGACAAAAAATTCATTAGCACAAAACATAGTTGTATGTACTATTTAGACTGTAAGAACCAAAGCAATTAACAATGTTAGCACCTAAATGAAACTATGGAAGTGAATGCCTAATAACACTATGTTTTAAAAACTAGTGGGTGCAACACGAACTAATTAGGCATTAAATTATTGCCCATCATGTACTGATGTCTCCAATCGATCAACTACTACGCATGTATCATGTGAAAATATAACATTTGCAATTATTACATTACAAAAAAAAAAGTTACTATGCAAGCTTACCAGTAGTTATGGCTGCAGAAATTGTTGCAGAAACAGAAAAGTTTTTCTCCGCTTTGATCATAGCAAGTCCAGCAGCAACGAGGGGTGTTGCAAAAGAAGTGCCGGACAAGACATTATATGGAACAAATATGAATCCCCGTCTCCTATAGGCATGTCGTCTGGCCAAGATGCAACAATATGCTCCCCTGGAGCGCAAAGATCAGGCTGCAAAAATCACCGGAATCAGTTATAATAATAACAACAATAAGAAAAATAATGCTAACGATAATAACAATAACAATATAATATTCTGATGCCAAGTAAGTTGATTACTAATAATATTTAAGTGGCCTATGAATGTTTCCATTACTTGTGAAAAAAGAAGAAAGGTAAAGATGGATAACTTGGCTTGAAACTCAATATGAGTTAGTGCTAGAGATTAGTATGAGAAACAGTAAGATAGCAAGCTAGAGAGATAGAATCAATGGCAAACAAGGGAATGATAGGAGTATTATTGAACAGAGTATCCAACAATACAAACCTTCTTTCGAGAGGAAAGAGCTCTCCCAGAACAACCTCTTAATTAATTTCTTGATACCTTCCCCTTTCACCAATCACCTATTAATACCCCAAAATTAATCCCTAAAACAGACTTAACCACACCTTAAGCATGCCAGCCAGAAAATAACAAACTTATCTAGAGATTACTATTTTACCCTTCTCCCCAAACTGTATTTAACAACCTTACAACTCAGTATTCTTCCAGCTAATTCTTGGGCCTTCTAGCATAAGTAAAGCGAATATCAGGTTTAGGCTGATTCCTTGCAGTTAGGCATATGACAGGGTAAAATGGTTGTTTTCGGAGAAGATGATGTCTAAGTTGGTTTCCTGGATGGTTTTGTCAAAATAGCCATGAGATATGTGTCCTCTGCCTCACTTTCAATTTTGCTTCATGGCCAACAGTCCAAGAGATTTGTACCTTCGCTGGCTGCGACAAGGAGATCCATTGTCACCATTCCTCTTTGTCCTTAGTGCTTATGGGGTAAAAATTAGTAAAAGAGTTGCTCCTATTACTTACCTTTTCTTCGTGGATGATAGTTTATTATTTACCTGTGCAAATGAGGAGGAGATTGATAAGATACTTGAACTATTTTCCACTTATGAAGATGCTTTAGATCAGAAATTCAATAAAAAAAAAATCGAAAGTGTTGTTTAGCCGAAATTTAGAGCCTGAGAAGAAGGATATGCTTCAGATGAAGTTGTCATTTAAGGTTGTACACAAGTATGATAAATGTCTTGGATTACCAAATTTTATTGGTGGTTTATAGAAGACAGCTTTACAAATAATTCAAGAAAGGATTTTTAAGAAGTTGAAGGGGTGAAAAGAAGGGTTTCTTTCTCATGCTGGTTGGGAAGTACAAATCAAAGCCATTGCAAAAGCATTTCCCATTTATGCTATGCAATGCTTCCCTATTTCGGTAGGTATTCTTGATGATATCCAAAGATTGTGTCGTAGCTTCTTTTGGGGACAAAAGAAGAGTGAAAGGAGGACTATGTGGGTAGTTTGGGAAAAACTGTTTTTATCAAAGAAGGGGGCATGGGTCTGCAGAATTTCAGAGCTTTCAATAAGGCTCTCCTTGCAAAACAAGTTTGGCGTGTGATGACAAATACAACCTCCTTGATGGCTAAAACTTTAAAGAATAAATATTATCTAAAGTCTTCTTTTATGGAGGCTAAAGTGAATTCTATGACTAGTTTATTTTTTCGAACTCTGCCAAGAGTTAATGCTCCTGGAAACTATCCACAAGGGGTTGAAGATCTTTTGGTTGGGGAGAGCTGGAAATTGGGGCTTCTTAATTTACAATTTCTTCTTAGGAAGTCGAGGCTATTGTGATTATTCCTGTCTCTCTGTATTCTGGCTTAGACTATTGGTCATGGATTCATACAAAGAAGGGTGACTTCTCAGTTAAAAGCGCGTATTATACAGAGTTGTAGGCATGTCGGGTTGATCAAGCTTCAGGCTCCGGGACACACACGCTGACACACACACAATTTGGAGCAAACTCTGGAATGCAAAGAGTCAAAGACTTTACCAAAAATAAAAAAAATTTAGGTGGAAGGCACTACATGATGAAGTCCCGGTGAGAATTCAGTTGAACTACTACTGGTCCCTGTTGCACCTTGAAGTTACTAATCCAAAAGCCATGAATTTTAAGCATTGGTGTATAATGCTTGAGAATTCAGTAACGGATGCTTTGTGATGGGCTCTTTTTGGAGTCTTTTACGGGCCATGTAGCTTAAGGGGAATGCGTGGATTTTTCAACCAAAAGAAGTTATACGTGCAGGAGGTTATTGGCAGAGCTGCGGGAATTGTTGGTGATGTTGAGAAAGCACAAGAGCTGCGTGGTGCTTGCTGTCCTGAAAAGGTGGAAGCCATCTGACATGGATACTTATAAAATCAATTCTGACGTTTTTGGGGACAATTCGGTTGGTTTAAGTGGGGTGAAGCGTGCGTGACCATGTGGGTGATGTGATTTTAGCTACTTGTGTTAAGGAGGGGCAGTTGGCATGGATATTGCAGAGGCTCTTGCGGCGTGTCATGCTTTACTGATTGAAGTGAAGGGGGGATGTCGAAGAGTGGTTCTAAAAATGGACAGTTTCAAGCTTAATGCAATCATCTGCAGAAAAGTTGTATGTGAGAATAGCATCTTGAGAAAAATTGTAGATGATATTCTACATTTGAAGGAGCTGCTGCTGTATTTCTTACTCACATGTGGGTAGGGAAGGGAATGGGGTAGCTCACAGACTTGCTTATTTGAGTAGAATTTAATAATTTATACGGAAATGAGGGTTTGAGTGGAAGAAGGGATCAACGATTATTTTTGTGGAGGATTTTGAAGAACGCCCTCCCTACAGGGCACAACCTAAAGAAACGAGGAGTTAATACCAACGGAATTTGCCTTATGGGAGGCCCAGCTATGGAGGAAAGTACGACTCATCTATTGAGGGACTGTCCAACGATCAGGAGAGTGTGGGCTGGAAGCAGCCTGGGTATTAGAACTAACAATGACAGATCCATTCCATTCGTCGATTGGATCACCGACTGGATTGCTTACCTTTAGAGAGATAAAACAGGTCGGAGCACTCCCATTTTTGTCAATCTCCTCCAAGGTATCTGCCTTCAGAGGAACAAAGTGGTGTTCTACGGAGTTTGTATTAACCCCTTGGGCATCATTCGAAGAGCGGAGTTGACAATCAATACAAGCTGGACCAGCCAACAAACCCCAATCCCCAAAATTCCAAGGAAAGACATGAAAGAAGGTCCTCCAGGTTTCGAGATTAAACCAATTCAGATGATAATCGGTCATAACGAATGCAAGGAGGTAAGTGAATTCCAGATCAAGATGGGGAAAAGGAAGGAGAGCGCATCGACATAATTTGGAGATTAATGAGACACAGATAAATTTTGCACGAAAATTGTTGAAGTAGATCCCACCAAATAACACTTGAGTGTTCCACATTGACAGAAATTAAGAGTTAAGACCACAATATAAGACTAAGGGGCTACTCCCCTCATGGCCATATGGTTTTAAAGTGGAAACTCCGGTCTTGTGAAGTGGACTTTCTCTTGGTTGTGGGTGCGGCCTACAGGACAGATTAGACTTTGTTCTTTCCTTTCCCATACTTCTTTAACCTAGTAACAGGTTGGTTGCTTGGACCTTCAAATGCTTGATATGAATGCTGAGTTGTGTTAATGGAGGGTTGTGGTTGAGAAACAGACTGCAATGAGCTTCTTGTGAATCTTCTAGGTGGGTTTGGTGGGTTTAATGTGGAGGTACTCTTTAGTGCATTGTGTTTAGTGGACTTAGAAGTTTTCTTTGCAATCCTCTGTCCATCCCTTGCACTTTGCTCTGCTGCTGTGAGTCCACCCTTACATGTCTGTTTGTTGTGTCCATAACACATACATCTCTGACATTGGACTGTTGTAGACCTTTTTCCTTTGTCGGGTTCATCAGGTGCCCTCCTTCTTTGTCTAGATGGTCTACCAATGCCTCTTTTCATCTGTGGTGGTAGTATTGTAGGCATATTAATCTCTGGCCAGTGCTCAAAATCTGGTACAGAGTGTATTGAGTTGGCATAAGCTTTCTTATAAGTTTGGACTGAGAACTATGTGCTGCAAAAATTGTATGGGTTCAATCCAGCAGCCAAGATTGCTCTAATTGCATGTTTGCAAGGCAAACCTGAAATTTGTCATGCCCCACAGAGACATGTGTTTTTGTTTAGTGACATAGGAAGTCCTTCACTTCATATTCACCCTCCTTTAACTGATAAGCTTTGCAATTTCTTGATCAAAGGTCAACATCTTTATTCTCTTTACTATATTAGGACATGGTTCATCCTCATTCCAGTTGTTACACTTTTTTCTAGCTTCTTGATGATAGTCTCACCATGTACATTCTTCTTATACCTATGTATTCATGTTAGGATAGGTTAGCATCAAAATGAAATGATGTCAAATACCATTAAAGATGTTAGAAAAAGAAAACTTATACCTTCCAAAAGTGTTAAGACAGGCCTGCATATGTCCACACCCAAAGTTGCATTGAAACTCTCTACAAAGTTGGTCTTGTTTTCATCACTGCAAATTTAGGGATCAAATTTGTGCCTTGTCCACCTTGATTGGTTCCCCAAATCAGCCAACCATTCACAAGCCATTGGATTCACAGCCTTAATCCTGTCCATAGCCTTTTTAAAGGTGAAAGGAGATGTTGCACTACAGGCCAACCAGAAGAGTGAATGCATCAAAGGGCCAGGAAATGATCCTTTCCAATTCTTGGCTAAGTGTTTACAACAATATCTCTTGTCCACTTCAGGCCATATCTCAGTTAGTGCCACATCTATTCCCTGCACACAAATACACAAAAGTGAGTTTAGTTGTTACTTGCAATTTTAGAAATTAAAGTGTGAGTGAAAGAGCTAACTTACTTTTTGTCTGTGTGAAATAATACACCAACCATTACCCCGCCCAGAACCTGACAGAATATGCTTCAAGTGCCAGAAAAAATACTTCCAATTGTCACCATCTTCCTTGGGAACTATAGCCCATGCAAAAGGAAACAATTCATTGTTCCCATCTATAGCCACAACAGACAAAAGGACCCCACCAAAATGTCCTTTCAAGTGAGCTCCATCAAACCCCACTAAACTCCTACATCCTGCGACAACACCATCAATGGCAGCCTTGAATGAAATGAATATAATTGAGAAAGTGAGGGATGGATCAGGTGGATTAAGTTGCTTCCATGCACAGTTAGCTGTAGATCCTGGGTTGGTTTCTTTAACCATCTCACAATACTTTGGCAAATGTCCATAGGAAGTATCATGCCCACCATTTATCTCCTTCAATGCTATTGCTCTCATCTTGTAAAGGGTACTGGTTGCCATGTGCACTCCATATCTACTGAATAAGAGATCATTCAGTGTCTTTCCAAAGATGTCATTATTAGCCCTTATATCTTCCATTAGTTTTTCTACAGCCCATGTAACAGTCACTAGGGGATTCCTTTCATCTAGCCTTCCACAAGTGTGCTCAGAGTTCTTTATACTCTTTATAGCCCAAGTAACTCCATCTGGTAGCCTATTTGAATGAATTCTCCAACCACAATTTAAAGCAAGACAAGCAGCAGTGAACCTCCTTGGATTGCTCATATCAACCACTACTGCAAAACCACATTGTATACAATAATCTCTGAAGACAGACATGAAATGCTCTTTATCACTGAAGATCATCCAGGGTTTCAACACTATACTGCCAAACTCAACATCAGACACAAATTCACCATTTTTATACATCCTACTAAAATAAGTGTCATCTGCATACAGACCCCTATTCCAGCAATCTGATATGTATGGGTCATATGTGTCAGTAATACTGCCAATTTCTTTATCCTCTTCATATTCATCATCAATATCATCTTCCTTATTAGAACCCTCATCCATTTCATCTTCCTTATTAGCACCCTCATCCATTTCATCTTCCAGCATAGCATCCTCATCCATTTCATCTTCCAGCTCATCCCCTTCATCCATTTCATCTTCCAGCACAACCTGTGCAGCCTTAGCTCTACTACTTTCACCAATCCCATATGTTTCGGGGTTTTCTGATGTCCTGCGGGAGAGTTACAATTCCGAGACTGGAACCGGACGCCTGTACCTGCAAAACAAACAGACGCTCAGGACGATTGGAGATCCGCCTCCGACGGTCAAGTTAGTACTTGATTAAGGAGTAATTAATGCGGAAATTAAAGTGATTGGGTCTCTCTAGGTGAGAGTGTTTTATGTGTGTAATCTGCGTAATCCCCCTTAATGAGGATTAAGGGAGGTATTTATAACCTCGGGAAACGTGCCAATCCTAGGTTTAGGTTAACCTTAGGCTGATTGGGCTTCCCTCGGAAGTTGGGCCTAGGTGGCCGACTTCTCCATTAGGCATGGAGTATGCCACGTTTCATGACATAATAGGTCCAGGGTGGACGAATAAGAGTGTGCCACGTGGCAAGCCCTAAGAGGTCCAACTGGGGGACACTTAGCAGGACCTGATTGGCCCACGTGGCGCATTTCGATTGGTGGGAGCAAAATCCCCTAATCATTTGCCCCTCACAGGTGACACGTGACTGGTCACGTGTTACCTGTGATAGGTGTCGCCCTGTAACAGGCGACGGCCTGCTACAGGTGTCACTCGGCGAAAGGCCGAGAGATTCTCCCGCCCAAATTTTGAATTCCGGAAGTGACCCTTCGCCTTCTCACTTCGCCTATATAAGGGGGTGCTGTCTTCGGTCATTTTCACACTTGAGAACTTTGTGAGAGAACATTCGGACCCCTGAACTTGCTCTGACATTTTGGACCCTTTCTGCCTACCGCCTGCTCTGACAAGCCGACTGCAAAGGATTTTCAGAACTTCATCAATCGTCACTCGTTCAGGTAACCGTCGGTTCTCTTACTCTTAATTTTCTCTTTACTTTATTCTTTTTTGAAATGGCACCACGGAAGCACACGACACGACCTAGGTTTGTGATCAGCCGGTCACCGGGGACGACTGAATCTAGGACTAGGAGTGCCGCCTGCCCTTTTCTGGACCCATCTTTGCCCTTTATACAAAGTCCGACTGTATCTGTGTCTATGCAGAACATGATGGCCAGAACAAAAAAGACTGCCAGGATCTCAAACTCAGACGGCTCCTCCCACAGGGTGCCGATTAGTGAAACATCTGACCAGGCGCCAGATGTGGAAGTGAAACAAAGCGGCTTGAAAGCCGGCAGTTCTGAGGGAGGAGTCAAAGTGACCCCTTCCCATTTTACAGTTGACAATTCTACATTCTCTCCTGCTCCTTTTAAAGGAGAGGAGGCGGGCCCCTCTGGGAGAGGGGAGGAGTCGTCCTCTTCGGACTCGTCAGAGGAAAAATCTGAGTCTAGCTCTTCTGGCCATGCTTCTCTGGACACAGAAGAGAAAAACAGTCGCCTCCAAGAGGCAAGGCTTTCTCACGCAGTTGAGAAGGGGGACAATTGGGCGGAGCCATCCGCCTCTCACCGAGAGCAAAATACCCCCTACTACTGCACGGTACCTCAGGGCCGGATCACGGCCATGCAAGAGAAAGTGGGGAGCTTTATCGCAACCACACAATGGGCCCCAGCTTTTTAGTGTTCGTGCCGGATCCAGAAGACACAGTCGTCTGGCCGGCTGGTACTAGTTATGATGGCGCCTACTTTGGCTGCTACGAGGCGGCCATCAAGGCTGGGTTGCGCTTCCCACTACATCCGGCTGTTCAGCGGATCTTGGATGGGTATGAGTTGGGGTTATGGCAGTTAGCCCCGAACTCCTGGGTCAACGTACTCGGCTATGTGGCCGGGTGAGAACTGCACGGGGTGGAGCCGAACTTCGAGGCTTTCGCCCACATGAACTACATCAGCCGGACCCCTAAGGCAGGCGGTACCGGCTGGTATCAATTGACGAGCCACAGGGGCTACCTCATGACAAGAGGTAAAGCAAACAAATGGAAGGACTGGCGGAGCACCTTCCTTATCATTGAGAGTTCAGACACAGAGCTGAACAAGCGCTTCAACAGGTGGAACAAGAATCCGCCCCTTCTTGCAGGCGGCCGCAGCATGCCGCCTGTTCCCCCTAAGGCTAAGAAAGAGATCCTAAATAAAGGACTCTTCAAAGTAGAGTAGAAGGTGAACTCTACTTCAGGGGTACGAGAGCAAGTACCCTTGCACTGCGTCCCGAGCTTCAAATGGCTCTACGACGAGTACTTTTTGGCCGCCTGTGGCCTCAGCAGTCGGTGCTCAAGAGGTAGCCGGCCTGTCGAATACTCTGTTGTTCCGTGCATTTCTTTTTATGATTTTTATTAACTTTGCTATTTGTTTTTGCAGCGGACGCCATGAGCAAAATTACCGCCTCCAAGACT